ATAATAATAACCATTTTGGAAAACTGGGGTGTTACACAAACAATTTGTATCATATTTGACTAAGTTATAAACGTTGTGTTCATAAAATTGAGGTATTTGATAAAAACAAGTTTTTATCATAAAAGTGTTCTTGCATAAACTTATTTAAAAATTTCCCCTTCTCTCATTTCTTTCCCATTTCAAATCCAAATACCTAAAAATAAAAATTATTTCTATCAGAAATCAAATTCAAACATTATCCAAATAATTTGTATCATATTTGACTAAGTTATAAACGTTGTGTTCATAAAATTGAGGTATTTGATAAAAACAAGTTTTTATTTTTATCAACTTATAATATATTTTTCATATGTTACAAAGTATCCTTTGAACTTATAACTTTTTTTTTCCGAGTGTTTAAAAAAAGTTGAAGGGATGGAGGAGTAATTGTTTGGTCGTGTACGGTGGTGTCTGGGATGCAATGCTGCAAATATAAGATTACTATCTTAATTGTAAATTGTTATCTATATATATATTACAATGAGAATGCTCATTTTGATAATTATTCTTTTTTATTTTTATATGGACTATTTCACTCTTTATTTGTTTTTTACAATTTAAAACTATCTTTTTGGTATTTTTTTATCGTTTTAATTTGTACTTATTATAAAGATTATACTTAGAGCATCTTTAATGTGGAGTTCTTATAAAAATTACACAGGAGTTTTTATATTATTTTATGTGGGATTTATTCTACCACATCAATTTTAAGCAACTCATACTAAATTTTTAAAAATTTTACTCCAATCATAGTTCTTATAAGCATCCACACTTTTGTAATTTTTTATTTACACATCACATTTTATAATTTAGTAATAACTTAATTATTATAATTAAATATTAATACAAAATATAATATTCGAATATAGATAAAAAAAAGTTAATTAAAAATTTCACACATTTATTTTAATGCATATAAAAATATTATATATTAAAAATAAACAAATTAAATATTTAAGAGAAATTAGAGAGAGAAGCACATTTTTGCTTCATTCTCCACTTTTGTTACGTGGAAAAGGGGGGAAATAAGGGAACGGAGAGGCACGCGCAGAGGCGAGCTGAGGCAGGCTCAAGGACCAACGTGGCACGGAGGCAGACTCAGGCAGGCGGAGGCGCACGGAGGCCGGCTCAAGGACTGGCAGTGCACATTTCTGCTTCTTAAGCAACAGTAAGCAACGTTGCTAAGGTTTAAGCAACCCACTAGGCCACCTAGATTATCTCCAATGCAAAATTTTAATAAGCAACTACGAAGTGGAGTTAAAAATCAGATAAGCAACTACCGCTAGAGATGCTCTTAAGGAATACTTATTTTAATAATTGTTTTTAACTTTTATTTTTATATGGACTATTCTATCCCTTATTTATTTTCTACAACTCTTAAAACAAATTCCTCAATATTTCTTTTTCTTTTTTCTTTTTTGCATTAAAATGAAATTATTTGTAAGCAATTACGCATTTTTTTATTTATTCTAAAACTATTCATGGTAACTACTCAAAAAAATAATTTTTTTTTATATTTTAAATAGTAAAGAAGAGGCACTACGTACTTTTATTATTTTAAAAAATAAAATAAAATAGATGATGATTGATTAATGATTAGTTAGAGATTTTAAAAAAAAAAAAAAATATATATATATATATATATATTAAATAAAAAGTAGTGAGAAAGACAGTGAGAGAGTGGTTTGAAATTATTATAAGAATAAAATTGTCTAATAAATAGTGTATATCCAATAAGATTACTATCTTTATATATGTGATAAATTATAGATACAACATTTTTTTTTTACTAGTATGAATATAATATGTTGAATGAAAGTCAAATATTTCTAGTTTTAAATTTGAGAATAAAGTGAATCTTTTTTCAGCAAATCAATTAGAAGAAAAGATGTTCTATATCCAAATTCAAATAATAAATAGGTTTGGTTTGAAAATCATTTTAAATGCTTTGATTTTTATAGATTTAAATTTTATTTGTTTTTTTGTCACAACCTTACTTAAAATATTTACTTTAATTTTTAACCCTTTTTATCTATCAAAATCAAATTCGATATAAAATTTACTATAATTCACACAGTCCCCTCAATTAAAAGAGTTAGGCCTCTTACATACTTTTTTAACTTTTAATTTTATAATCTGGAGAATTCTAACAAATGCCTTAAGACATGGATTTAAAAATCAAAATAAGAAACTTTTTATGAAAAATGAAATATTATCAATGCACCCACCATAATTTTCAATGTATTTCTAATGAAAATTTTGATAAGAAAAATATTAATTCCTTAATTGATGTTAATAAGAGACTTGTTAACAAAAATTCCTTGTGTGTATTTCAAAAATAAAGACAATGTATATAATGACAACTATTTAAATAATTCATTTTTATATAAATATTTAATTATATAAAACATAATTTAAAAGTATAATTTTCTTTTATTTCTCACTTAATTTTATTGTATGAAACAACTACGTTTTTTTATTTTATTTTATTTTTACATATTTCTTATCAAATCATTTCTCACCAATTTTCTCTCATTCCCTTCAAATCCTAACCCACACAGACAAATCCTTTAAGTCAATGTAACATTTATCTTGTGTTCTACGTGCATTAATTAATAAATCAATTAATACAAAAATTTATTAAAAAAATACATCCGATGGACATTGAAAATTATGGTAGAAATGCATAAATGATGTTTTTCAATTAAAAAAAAATTATATTCCCAATTTCTTAATGAGTATCTTTGACTTGTATAACACCTGCCTACATTATTCTTAATTTTCATCTACCTTATAAATTGAGACTAATCTCAATTTTCTTTACATTATGCTTGATAAATAATAACTTAATCATATGTCTATTTCAACCCCGTGTAAAACATAATTAAATAACACACATAACTTATTATGTGATTATTAATGTAAAAATGATTAAAGGCACATGAAATTCAATGTTATGTTAAATGTGGATGGGAGTTGTCCTGGAAATCCTCCTAGAATTGGTTCCGGTGGCATTGCATTTTTAGAAAGGTAGATGGTGACTAGTTGGTATGTCCCCTATAGATATGTATACACACAATAATAGTCGGTCAATTCAAAAAACAATTAAAATTTGATCAAATACGTACATATATAAAACTATTGATGAAATTATTTAAAATTTTACTATTAATTTCCTAAAAAACTAAATCGCATTTGTAGACCCCTTATGTACAATTTAATATGCAATTCACAATTTTGGCCTTCCTAATTTTTAATTCCACGATTTAAGTAAACTAAAAATACAATTTAACCATTTTCTAATCATCATCAAATTACCATTCCACAATTTCATTTTGAAAGTCTAATTAAAATGATAATTCATTTATTACGAAGCATACGACTGATGTAACAGTAACAATTGCAAGCAACAAACGCTAAGATAACTATCATTCATATTATTACAAGAGCTGTAGCTGTTTTTTAAATCAAAATTCAAATTAAAATGAAATGCAAGCAGGCTAGATAACCTATCCAATAATAATGGTCATTGTATACCCCAAAACCCACCATATTAAAGCTTGAAAGGTATAGCAAGTTACTTGTAATGCTGAGACACCTCCCAAACCAGCTTATCCATGAAATGGCATTTCTTGTCAAATCCCCACCCGGGGTTGCTCTGCATAATATTTCAGACCAAACATAAATAATGTGCGGCATAGTCCTTCTACATACTTTTCTAATCAGTATTTCTCATATTTCATTTAAATAAAAGGGCATGAAAATGCAAAAGGAATCCAATTGAAGATTCTATATTTCTGTGTTGTTGGATTGGTTATGAAATATCATAACCAACCATTAAAAAGTTCTTTCATTATACGCCACCAAATCTAATCATTAAATTAAATTCTAGTACTTTCTTCTGCTGTAATTTTTTGTTTTCAGGACTCTTTATGTTAGTAAAATGCTGATTTCTTCCGAAGAAAACTCAACTACACGAATAGCATAAATATGATATGATATGATATATATATATATATATATATATATATATATATATAAACACTTGTGACATCAAAAGTACTGAAATACCATTTTATATATGATGCACACTGAAAGCAAAAAAATTAAAAAACAACAAAACTAGATGAAAATATAGAATACTTGTCCATACAAAGAATTAGCGAAAGGAATTCTCAAATAATACATAGAACAAGCTCATTTTAACTAATAAAAAAATTGTCAAGATACATTTATATACTTGTAGTCTCATATGAAGAATCTGCAGTCAAAAGTGGATAAGGCATACTTATCCAAATTCATTAAAGGATAATAGAGGGAAAGGAGGATTATAAATCAATCCCAGGATAAGGAAATTAATACCAGCCTCAGGAAAACAAATATCCTTAACACATCAAGATTTGAAAATTAGATATGCTCTCATATCCTGATTTAGATTAGAGCAATCCTAAACACATTTGTGACTACCGCCAGAATAATTGATTACCAAAACAGCTGCAAACTTTATATAATCGTGAAATATCTAGTTTCTATATCGCTTCTTTAATATACAAAGCCACAAAATCACATTAATAAGAGGCCAAAACCACTTTAAACTTTATATAATCATGAAATAGCTAGTTTCTAAATCGCTGCCTTAATGTACAAAGCCACAAATTCACATTATAAGAGGGGCTAATGTTTGGGAACTTCCTGGATTTCTAATCACACAGTAAATAATTATATCATTCTACCAAAACCAACTCCAGTAGCCAACGATCATCATTCATTACTTGCCAATATTTTTTTTATATATAAATTTAAACAAATATTAATTATGTTTTGGGATGAAAATTAGTTTTCTTATCTATGCCTTGTCAATAACAAGAGCTCAGCCAAGGTATGACATCAAATACATATTTTATGTCTCTCTTAATACATTTAGGATTTATTTTATCAACTAGGATTTATATTCAGGATTCCTAGGAAGAATAGCAAATATTTCTCGGGATTTCATTTGAATATGCAACTCTGGATAAATAGAGATACTCTAATATCAAATTAGAATAAAACTATACTGAGGAACGGGGATCATTTAACACTGAACTGCATGAGCAAGTAAAACATCACAGGCAGAGATATGTATAATAAGATTATCAACTTAAGAGCAAAACAACTGCACAAGTAAAATACACTTTTTGCCCAACACAATATCAGTATTTAAGGTTCCAAACCTGAAGAGAGGTAACAGCACGATTAGTAAATTGTTTCACTGAAGATGGTGCACTTTCAGGAAGAGTTTTAGCAACTCTTTCTAATTCTTCTTGTTGCTTCTTTGCAGTTACCCTATCTGGTCCGCTGTAGTGATCAACAATCTTTTTCATCAATGGAATCCGGGCCATTGTCTCTTCCATTATTTCCTAGTAGGATATAAAGTTAGAAAATAATAAAGAAAAAGTATATCCCATCCTAACACACGGACTCACATCCATAAAGTAGAGAGCAACAATAAACACAAAAGCCTTTATCAACTAGCACCCACTCACAGCACTTAGTACATTTAGATAGGTGCTGTATCAAAACAAATAGAGTGAGTGATACAGCACTTACCAAAATGTACCTGTTACACAGGCTTGATATAACAAAGGTATAGGCAATCAAGCCATAAGATTATTGGCAAACATAGTGGTGAATTAACAATAATAAAAGGAACATTAGTAACCAAACTCATGCCCTAAAACCTTTGCAATTAATATTAGGATAATAATCCTAATTCATGGATTAATTAGCGACAAAATATACCTCCCACTCTTCCTGACTCTGAATCCCCTCATATGCCATCAAGAATGGTTTCATCTTCTCAAGTGCATCCCGAAGTGGAATTGGTTCCTTCTCATCAATATCTGGATTATCAAACTCCACCAAATATTCTGGCTCACATTCAATCTGCAATAATCAATAAAGACCGAAAAAAATACAAACAATTAAACATTATAATATGGATAAGTAGAACGCAGAAGTTTGGCTTAAAACTTTTCCCCAAGAGAAATGTTGTCTTTAGATCTTCAGAAATGAATGATTCAGCATTCAGGTCTGATGAGTTTCCTGATAGCAATTCAATTAACTTAACCCTATTTTATATGTTCTTACAGACAAACCGGAAAATTTTCCCTTGTTGTGGCCTAACTTCAAAAAATTATATTCCCACTACCTTGGATGATTTTTCAACAAATAAATAAAGATGAATGCAGCTAACCACTTACTGCATAATTGATGTCTAAAGCATCCAAGTACTCATCCTCTAATGGCGATGGTAAAACTCTAGTAGCCATCTCCTCAAATCCTTCAGTCAACTGATTCATTATCTCAGGCCCAAACTTTTTGGCTAATTTCTCACCATCTTCATTATCTCCAACATATAGCCCTGTAGCATAGAAATCGTTTGTATCCATAGCTCGACCAGACAATTCATCCACATCCCTCCCTCTGAATCCCCCCCTTCCTATGCCTCGACCTCTGCCCCTGCCCCTTCCCCTGCCTCGACCAAACCCACCTCTCTCTCTAAATCCTCTTCCTCTTCCAGCATCACTTCCAGCATCCTCCCCTTGTGAACCTTGTGACAAAAATTTCCGTGCATTCTTCACTGCATCATCCCGGTTTGGTATTGGCCGTCTCTCAGGCACAGTCTCAGATGCAGCAGCACCAGGAGCTTGCCGAGTGCGGAGATGCCTATTCTCTTCTGTAACCCGTGTTTCCAGTTCTGACTGTTTCGTGGGCTTTCCCCGTCCAAGTCCAGACAACACCCCTAGTACACTGCCTGGAAGTTTGTTATCATGCTCATGATCAACAGATCTGGATGTTGGGTTGATGGCACTCTCCCTTCCAGGAAAAATGGATCTTTTGGGTGGTGAAAAATCATCTGGTGTTGTTGGAGAAACATTATCCTCTCTTTTGAAGAAAATGGGTTTTTTGGGTCCAGAATCTGGGGGCTGCAAATCACGTTGAGGTGCAGTGAGTCGGCCACGACCAGAAGGTGGCTGATTTATGGACGATATAAATGATGAGAAAGAAGGAAGACCCAATGGAGGCATTGGCTTGCCACGGCCATGGCCATGACCTGAACTACGAGGAATGGGCGACTCTTTTGGGTCAGATTTGGACTCATTGGAATTAGGCTTACCTGGAGCTCTTTCATTGAAATTGAACGTCCCCGAACCAGGGAGGGAGCCTCCACGACCACGACCATGACCACCACCACCACCACCACCAAAACCGGAAGATGTAGAAAATGGAACTAGTGTTTTTCTGGTGGCATTGGAAATGTAGGGGCTTGGCACCCTTATTCCAAAGGTTCCTCTCATGGACAAGTTGAAACAAATGCTTTATTGGAAAGGTCAAAAAGATTTCAGCAGCATGACCCTGATAAAATACACATTACCAAGTTTATATGAACTGTTGGAAAAGCCAATAAAATACATTAAACAATTGCATAAATTTATATTTAGAAACTCCCGGGCATTGCATGTCTATTTTTCCTGTTTTATTTATATACACCAATTTTAAGTTGACAACAACTAGTTCATTAGTTGATAATTAAATAACTTTATTCAGTTCATTTTTCAATAATTTAAAACAAAACTAATAATTACTTTTTACCTGGCTATCCTATTTACAATTGTCAATGACAATAACTGACCACAATTTTCCCCCTATGTTTCCACCATTAATCATCAGTCAAAACCGTATTCTACTTTAAAATCAATCTGCATTTCTTTTAGAAAAAAAAAAAAAAAAAAAAAAAAAAAAA